CCTACAAAAAATGAAACAATATTACCCTTGGACATCATTGTCTAAATTGTCGTCAGAATCAAATTATCTAGCAATCTTGTCTTCACAGTTGAGTACTTCACAGTTGAGTAGATACAAACCTCTCTATCTTTTGTCCCACAAGCACAAAAAATCTTGTTGGGAATAAACAGTTGAGAACCGTAGCTACAAAGTAGTCCTTATTTAGAAATTGACACCAAAGAAACAAGACCCCCTGCGGGCCGGGTGAAGCTCGGTGCTGCTGGCCACCCAGACCAACAAGCCTGCCGGCTGCTGCAGGCCTTCGGACGCTGATCTCTTCCAGGTGTGATGCCGGCTACACTGGACAACACTGTGAAAAAAAGGACTACAGTGTTCTGTACGTGGTTCCCGGGCCTGTGCGCTTTCAGTACGTCTTGATCGCGGCCGTGATCGGAACGGTTCAGATCGCCGTCATCTGCGTGGTTGTCCTCTGCATCACAAGGTCAGTGCTGCGCGGGCGGCCGCTCCGGCGAGGCCGCGGCGGCCTGTATTTAATCGCGCCCGCCCTGCGGTGCGGCTCACTGTGAACACCCGGCCTCCCACTCTCCGCAAGTCCCGTTTCCTCCTCAGGAGAGCATTTGAGCAGCCAGCGTGGAAAAGCACCGATTTTCATGAGGCAAATTATTTTCGTCATCATTGCATTATGATTGAGATCATTTGTTTTCTGAGTTATGTTCTTAATTTTCTAGTATTATAACACATAATTTCAACCTTGGTTTAAATATGCCTTTGTCTTTTCTAAAAAAGCTCAGTCTTCACTCATAGTGCTGACAGCCTTTTAATAAGACACTGTATTCCCAGCTGCCTGAATCAGTACTCCAGAAGAGGTCAAGGTGAATTTTCCCCAAGGCTGAGGAAGTCACTGGATCATACCGGCCACACATAGCACTTGGATTTCCAAGTCGAAGGCCAAACCTGATATACTTGGTATAAACAACAAATACTTTTACCCTAAGATGCCAGAGTAGCTCTGAACAACATATTGTTTTTAATTATTTATTTATTTGGTACAGGGTCTCACTACCCAGCTTGGACTCATAGTGATCCTCCTGTCTCAGCCTCCCCAGCTCTGGGCCTCCCCAGCTCCCACCACGCCTGGTTCCAGGGTGGCACTGCATGTGGTACTGGGGATCAAACTCAAATCCTTGGGCTTGCCAGGCAGGCACTTAGACTTCTGAGGTGTCTCCCTAACCTGAACAGCACAGTAAAAAGAATTGTAATGAGAAAGACTTTTAAGGTATAGTAAATGAATGTGGATGGTAAGGAAAACATGCAGAAAATGTCACAACAGCAAGCAGGCGCAGGGGCCCGGGCCTGCCATACCGGCCCTGCCCCAGCGCACTGAGACTGCGGTTGAGACTGGGCATGGTGGGACGCACCTGTAATCCGAGCCCCTGGGGGCTGTAAAAAGGCAGATCACTACAAGTCCAATCTAGTAATAAGACCCTGAACACCCTGTAGACCCTTCCCTAAAATACAAAGAAAAGAAGGACGGACGGACGGACGGACGGACGGACGGAAGAAAGGAAAGAAAGAAAGAAAGAAAGAAAGAAAGAAAGAAAGAAAGAAAGAAAGAAAGAAGGAAAGAAAGAAAGAAAATGTCACAACAGATTTTCATCTCGAGCTCCCATCCAATCCAGGATGAGAGAACCAGGTAAAAGAGAATAGGGGTTTCATCCAGAAAGCAAACTGATTGACTAGTGATGTCTGGCACCAGGGCAAGGCGAGAGGCGAAGCTCAAGATGTGCTTAACTTCATGCGTGTGCCAATCTGCGGCAGCTAAGAGTTAGAGTCAAAACCATGCACGTGGCCTTTCTGCCTTGCACACTGGAAAAGCTATGGAAGCACCTCTCTCTGACCTGTTTTCACTCTCCTTTAAAAGGTTCCAAGAAAGCTGTTTAAGATTTTCGCCAGATCTCTGGGGCATTTAGATTTTTATTCATTTGTGCAGGCCCCAGTGAATCCAAATGCTTCCCAAAATAACTTTTTTTAAAAAATAAGAAAATAAAAGCATATCTTTAAAAAATAAAGCCGGTCTCTGTATCTGAAACACACTGTCTTCTGTGAGGACAAGTGTGGCATTTGCTCTTGAAAAAGACAAAATGTGGTTCGTAAATCCTGGCGGGGCCTAAAGGCTTAAGGGAAGATCATGACAGGAGCCCCGGGCTGCTCGGCACAGGGTGAGTTCATCAGCTCCACTCTCGCGCTTCGAGGCCAAGTGAGTCAGTGGATTATGTTCAGATAGTCCTGGGGAACACAAAGAAAATTCAAGAAGCCAAAAATACTGAGTATAAAGCGGCAAAATAGCAAGAATCCGAGATGCAGGGCACTGCTCTAAAGAACTGAGCTTTCTAAGGTCTAGGGAGCGCCAGTGCGCGGCAACCGAAACTCATCTTTAACGGGGATAATGGCAGAATGCTTTGCTTATTGTTTTGTGTGTTGGAAGGAAGACTAAATATTTCAGCCGAAGCCTCAGCTCTCCTGGTAATCCCAGCGTCATTTCCACGCACTAAGGATAGCAGCATACCTAGAATCCTAGCCCGGCAAGGAACTGTGCAGATACAGGTGTGTGTTCTGTATTTGTGTGTGTGTGTGCACAGACAGATACACACGCTAACTACATGAATGGACAGTCAGCTTCCTTTTCACAGCGGGGCAGAGCGTTGAGGTCACACAGCTGGGAACAAGGGACATGCCAGTGCCCCGGCGTGCTCCTCCACCGCCTGCCACTGGGCCCCTGCGCAGACGGCCTGCGGCCGGCCACGGCTTGGCATACTCCCAGGCCCAAGACTAGATACACCAAACTCCAGATTGGAGGAAGCTGTATTTTCAAGGCATATGTGGCTTTTTTTTCATTTTCAATGTTAAAACTTATCTTATGCTCTGTTTATTTTTAAAAGACAAAGCACATGAACTAAATCAGCATCACTATAATGTATTTCATAAATCTGTGCTTGGACCACTAAGCTGTCCAAAGCCTGTCAAGCGTCATGCTCCTCAATAATATGCACCACATCCCACAGTGGATTCACTTCCTTCCCTGGAAAATACTCTGCCTGGAAATCAGGCTTTACAACGAGCTCACACCTCACCCACCAGAGCCATTCTTCCCTGGTGACCGGACAGCCCTTGTTTGTTGAGGTCTGTTCCAAAATATCCAGGGACAGAATCACACCCAGCATGGACCCTTTTGTTCTTTACAGTTTTCTTGTGATGTTGTTCTCACCTCTCTTCATTTTTAAATTTCCTTCTCCTCTTAACTCCCCTTCTTTCCTTTATTGTTGGTAATTTCTTTTCATCTTTATGTTTTAATCAAATGCCTGTCTTCTTCCTAAAAAGTGTGTGTCACATCCGGGTGTCTAGAGTTCTGTTCCAAAGTTAAAGTGGCCCTGTGGAGCAGTCAGATCTCCAGGCACTTCGTGTCTAGCACATACTTGCCAGGAATGTGATTCCTAGCTCCTGTTCATTTTTCACAGATGCGTCTCCCACCAAACCACAAATATCCACACACGTTATCCATGCTGTATGCATGTACCATCCCTCTCAGCTTGTTATAATAGGGCTTTACATGAACTTTGCATTATTTCATTTGCGTGATCAAATGCATGTTTTATTACATAAGAAAAACACCAGAACAGTGATTTTCAGATAATTTTATTGAGGATTAGCTTTTTATAGAAGCTACGCAATTAGGACCCATTTATGTCTCTAGTATTAATGGACAAAAATGGCATTCGACTCAACCAAAACAGCCTCCCTTTCTATTACATATCTGATCTATTAACAGTTGGCTTATTCTTTGCCATGATAAGATTTTTCACTTGTACCATTGAAATGTGAATAAACCATCTATCCTCAACATCTAAAACATAAAATTGTTGAAGACTTTTAAAGTAAAATGTGGCAGGCCCAAGGCTTGCTCCCCTGCAGCACGCCCCCCGCCCCCCATCCTTGTGCATTAAGGAGGAGCAGTCGAGAATGAGGCAGTGCATTCCTCGCCAGCCTTGGCCACTGCCGTGCGTTCTCCAGATGCGCGGAGAGCCATGGGAGAAGCAGAGCATAAAGCATCCCCCTCCTGTGGGTCATCAGTGATTGCTTCTAAAATGCTCTCATGGTCTGCTTCATCCACAGCCTCCCTCTGTTAGTGTAGGACCAAACTCTAGGCGATGGCACTGGCCTAAGGTTTGTAAACTTTTCCTATCTTCTAGGAAATGCCCCAGAAGCAACCGAATTCACAGACAGAAGCAAAACACAGGCCACTACAGCTCCGACAACACGACCAGAGCATCCACGAGGCTGATCTGAAGGAGCACGCTTCACAGTGGCTGCCTGCCATGAGCCGGGACTGCTTAGTACAGTATTGTAGACAAGAGAGTAAGACAAGAGACCTACACATGTTGCCTTGCATTTGTGGTAATCTACACCAATGAAAACATGTACTACAGCTATATTTGATTATGTATGGATATATTTGAAATAGTATACATTGTCTTGATGTTTTTTCTGTAATGTAAATAAACTATTTATATCACACAATATAGTTTTTCTTTCCCATGTATTTGTTATATATAATAAATACTCAGTGATGAGAAAAAATGGCATTCTTACATTTGCGGTATTTCATAAGTGTAAATATGATCCATCTAGTGCAATCTGCTCAGGCACCAGTGCTTCATCTCTCTCCACGGCGTAACACGCGACCCATTGGCTAGGCTTTGAGTGATTTCAAGATCAAGGGCAATGATGGTTACTGAAAGGAGAAAAATAATTTACTGTATCTCAAGTGAGGATAAAATATTTCAAATCTTTGAATCATCTTTATTTCATCTACTTTCTTCCCTGGTCTTCCATTTTCATCCCTAGAGCAGAAAAATCTCTAGCATACAAATTAAATCAAGAAGAGGGAAAGTGTTTTATAGCTCATAAGAGAGAGGGAAGGAAGTTACTGGCTTTTATTTGGAAAGCATCTTAGGCTCTCCCAGTCAGCTGCCTATATAGCTAGGGCATGTTGAGCAAGTTTGCCTGTGAGTAGATCCACAGAGCGCTGCATCCACATGTGTTCCATTTAAATGAGGGCACTTAACAGCTACGGGAAGCATTGAACGACAGCATTAAATGTAAAATGCCAAAAGCATGGCTTCTCCAAAGCACGTTGCTGTGTTTAGTGTTTTTTAAAAGAAGTAAGGTTGATATCCACGTGCACCATACGTATCTTACGAGTACTGTTACATGAGCCAGAGCTGAGTCAGTGGCAGTACTTCACGGAATCAGAAATGTGTTTTGAGTATATTTATATGATGAGATAACAAGGAAGAATCCTGCAGCATCTGAAGACCCTTAGTGGAGAGTTGGTGTCAAGTTGCATTGGATTTGATTATACAAATAGCTGTGATTACTTGGGGAAAAGAAACTGTATAGATTCTCAAATAAGATGAAAACAGCATCAAGTAATTGCCTTATTATCATTTATCTCTGCATAACTTTCTTTGACTCATAAAGTAACTGTAAATAAAGCTCTTTTTGTCTCTTTCAAAAGACCTCTGAGTGGACTAAAAGAAATAACATACAAAAAAAGACACAAAGCAAATCAACAGGTTCTTAATATAAAATAGTGAAGTATAAGTTTATGAAGTGTATTTTAGATATGTATTAACATATAAAAGGGATAAAATAGAAATTAAAGTCCTAAATAGGACTTCGAAAAGTGGCTTTCTCCTCCGCTTGAAAGCTTGAATCCACTCACACGAGCATTACCCAAGTGTTCTCACCACTCAGACCCATGATGGTTCTAGAAGATGGATTTCTTTTAAACTCCTATGTAGAAATTTGATTTAATTAGCACGTGTGGCTTTGTACATAACCCTGGCATCCTTGGTAAATCCACACTTGTGTCAAACCCTTCTTCCTCCTAAAGGAAGAGAAAAAAAATGTAACAGCAACAGAGGTGCTTAGAGTTTAAGAGAAGCAACAGTTCCACCGACTTTGCTGTAAGGATGTGAAAGTCTGCTTCGTTAGGCCCTGATACATCGCCACATGCATATTTTTGTCAAAGATCATGAGCCCATGTGTTGGCAGAGTCTTCAGTGTACTCTGCCTCAGCGCACCACCTCAGGGAGAAATCGCTTTTAAAAGTTGTGTAATGAATATTCAGTGAACAAACACAACGTGCCAAGCACTCTCCAAGGCTCTAGGTAAGAACAATGGAAACAGCCTCTCCCATTGAAGGACCTCACAGTCTGCTACTGATAAATAATCAGCGAGCCACTGCTTGTAAGTTTCTGATCATTTTGGAATTTCATTCTCAGGCAATTCTAATTTGTCAAGTAATTCTTCCTCATACTGAGTTACAATTTCACTTTTCTGTGGTGCCCCCGCCCCCCGCAAGAAGTATTTTTTGCTGTCTAGAGCAAAGGATTCGTGCTTTCCCATTCACCCCACAAGTGTTTTCTCCTTTCGGTGAAAAATGCTTCATGTCCTCACCTCGCCACGCAAGAATTCCCACATCACCCTAGTGTACCCCAAACATAAATTCAAAACTCTCTTTAAACAAAACTGCTAAGACACCGTGACTCACCCTTGCGTTCATTGTGCTCTGTCCGGTAGCGAATTGAGCACTATCTGTATCACACATGTGCCAGATCTGTGTTAAGCTAGTAGGTGACAAAGATCAGTAAGTGTCCCTTCCTGGAGAGAACTTGCTGTGACTTCATCCCTGCTTTTTGTGCATCAAAATTCTGCCAGTCTGAAGGGTGGAAACGAAGAGGCAAATAGAAAAGATAACAGAACCGATGCTACTGGTCAGTGTCATGCCTGGGAACCCTGAAGGATAACCTGCAGGCTGGGTAGATGTGCTTCTTCCACTAAGATACGCAGAATGGCATTCTCGTGCTGCACCCGTTCTCAGATGCCTAAAGGTCCCCTACTCCCCAGGCACTCCCGCCACCCTCCTTCCAACAACCGGGACTAACAAGACCTTCAGAGGGGCCTCCCTTGGCCACCAACTTCCGGTAAGGCTTCCTTTGGCATTCTGCTAGTTCTGCTACAGTGTTCTCCAACTCAGTCCCTAACTGATCGTGCAGGTTGCTCTTGTCCTCAACATGGAAGCAATCAGTCGTATGCCAGAAAACTGATGGCTTCCAATTTTTTCCACTTATTGAACACATGTTTCCTAGGAGCTGTGATGTTGCCGTGATAGGGGAAATAGTTCCGCTCTCTGGCTCACGTTGTGCAGAGGCTGGGAAGGTGGGCAGGAGGAGAGGCCCTGCTGTACAACAAAAACTGGGCCATGTTAAGGGCTGTAAGACTTACAAATTGGATGAGATGATTCAAGGTGCCACCATGGCTAGGAGACTGGGTACCACATTAAATGTTTAAAATATAGGCTCCTAAACAAGGCAGGTGTGGGGCTCACCCTCAGCTCTCTTTGTCAACTACTAAGTCTTGGACAGTTTGCCTCATTTAAGATGGCGAGAAACGTACTTTCCATAACCTACAGCGCTGGCGTGAACAAAAACAAGATGACTGGCATTTGGGCTCAAAACAGAGACATAACAAGTAAACTTCCATGATATGGAAATTATTTTATAGCGATGGGTCACATATTTCTTGTAAAAGTAAAGAATACAAGCCTTCATCAGCCAAGTGATGCTTAGCAGAATCCCCGGGTGGGGAGAGGCGACCCAAGGACCGAGCTCCTGTAAGGGGTTGGGGGGTCTCTATGCCTCCCAAAGCGAGAAAGCTGCATGCAGTTTTGAAAAAAATGGGAAAGGCAGAGTTAAAAAAATAAAACAACCCAGCTTCTCTAGTTACTTTCTTTTCCACAGAGGCGTCCTGGTATTGTGTCTGAACAAGAATGAAGAACATTCTTTTATTTTAAAATAGGTCTGCCCTGAAAAAGCACGGCCATTAAGCCCTCATGTGTTTCCAAATGCAGGCTGAATCAGTATCGCAGGGGCCTGCAGAACCAAACTCTTTATTTGAATGCATCCTTGAGAAGAAGTCTGCACAGACTACTGAAACGTGACAGCGATTTCTTCAAAGTCATATTGGACTCTCAGCTCCCATTTACCTTGAGATGCTGTTTTCCTGCGCCCAAGTCGGGCAGCACCTGGACAGACCACACGTCCTCAATTACAGCAGACATTTCCCTTCCTAATTAACATCTGGAGGCCAATAATGGGAGGTTTTCATTTAATTAATTGATACTTTTATATGAGGATCCACAGGAAGCTTATAAGAGAAGATAAAGGACGAAGGATGATACAACATGATTGGTTTTCTAAGCACCACATGCACAAATTAGCGCAGAACTTTGCCAGTGGCCCTGACACACTGCCCACACAGTCGCTTTCCAGCATCACTGTGGACAGCCACCTGCCCTGGGGTCCACCTGGCCTGGGCATGGGCCCTTAGCTGGTATCGGTCCTCCATAATAGTAAATGAGCTAAAGGTTTATTTGTGAATCTTTACATTTTTCATCACTTTTGACTATTTTTCTGGCACCAGGTGAGACCTGAAAGAAACAATATTTTCCATTTTTTTTCCAATCCAAATTCCATCCAGGACAAGAATGTAAGTCTAAGGAGAAGCCCAGGTCAGGTAGAAGAGGACAGGAGCCAGCCTGCCCCTCTGCTGATGCCAACCCTGCCACATGGTCTTTCACTCGCCCTCCTGGGCCAGCCAGATGCTCCATCCATGAGGTGTGAGCCCAGAAATCACCAAAAGCTGTGGTTCTCAGCGCCCATGAGTGCAAGCCCACTCTCTGGAGTGCGTTTTGAGGTTGCCCTGCACCCCACCTCCCTGTCGACTTTGAACTTGAGCACCAAGGCCTGTTCAGGAGCCCAGTATTTTTCTGAAAACCAAGAATAATAGCCAAAAGCATCACTTTGAATATCAAGTTATAATTAAAAATATCAATAGGTGACACTTGATTCTCTAGTAAAATTGGAAAACACAGACAAACAATCATGCAAGACCAAGAGAAAAACAGCACGGTAGTTGTGGAAAGCATCTCAAATAATTTCTATAGATCTCTGTTCAAACTTGAATGCAGTGTAAAATTAAATGAATAAAACGAAATATAGCAAGGTTATTGAAATGAATGCACAAGGCAGCTTCCAGTGTCTTTCCTGAAGCTGGTTAACAGAAAAGGGGGATGAACTGTATTGGACAAAGTTGTCCCTGGCAGCCAATGCTAAATTACTGACATGCCTTATCACATAATTTTTGGGGGGGGCAGGGTTCTTTGCCAGGGTTGGTGGCAGTATGGTTTTAATCCAAGATCTTCACCCTGAGCTGCATCCCAAGCCCTCTTTACATTTTTTAAAATTTTGAAACAAGGTCTCACTAATTTACTAAATTGTCCAATCTGGGCTCAAATTTGCAATCCTCCTGCCCCAGCCTCCTGAAGTGCTGGGATTACAGGATTACAGGTTCATGCCACAACACTCCATGGGGCAAGGAGCCTTCTGAGAAGAACAAAGACAAGGAGAAAACTGTGGCCAGTAGGAACACACTACTTCCTGTTAACTTGTCAGCAAAATAGAAACAGATCCCGAAGTTACCTCACCTCTGCACAGCATCACCTGTAGACAGAC